GCCGCTGGTGGTGGGAGAGGGCACTAAGCTTAGCACACGTTTGCTATTTTTAAAGGACTATATAAACAAACAGGGCTATGTAAATAAGAAAAAAAAATGAGGTCATCCTTTTAAAATCTAAAAATGTTCCTTTTCTATGGGGTGAGCAGCAAAACCTCAGAAAGAACTTGTGCTTTTTTATCCCCGAGAGGCCTTCTCCAGCCCACAGCCTCCCGAGGCCACCAGCCTGCCCCTCCCTTGCTTACATCTACTGGGGGGAAGGCAGGCGGCCTGGGAGCCGGGACTCCTGGGTTTTATTCCTGGCTGTGTGGGCTTTGCCTCGAATGCCCAAAGCCACTGCCCAACCCCAGTCACCACCTCCTTGGGGCCTTGACATCCATCCCCATGCAGGTCACTTGCAAGCACTGCCCATACTCACGTGCCCTCCTCCTGCATAAACCCGCTTGGCACGCTGACCCCAAGGACCCCTCTGCTGTCCCTCTGCCGTCCCTCTCTCCTCCCTCCTCCCCTGCCATGATCTGCAGAGGGTCCTCAGAGGTCCTCGGCATGATGATTAGAAGCGATCTGCATACTTCCCCTAGCGCCCTCCCCCGCCATTTCTCTGTCCATATTTTAATCTTTCCCTGCGTGCTTCTGGACCTCTTCTTCCAAGCCTATGGCTGGAATTCATTACAGCAGTCCCGGAGAGCTGCGTTTAGGTCACCAACAATTGTTAGGAGACACCCCAAGCTTCAACAGGCGCTCCTGGGGCTTCTCTGTTTTCCGAGTACTTTTTCCCTTACTGACCCTCCCTTACTGACCCACATACTCCCGGCCATGTGACCCTCTCTGCCAGGGACAGCATCACCTCCCTCCTCTCCTCCGCCACCCCAGCACCAACTCTCGGCATCTTTGGCTCCTCCGTATCCTTCTGCAGAGAAATGAGAACCACCAATATGCGCCGAAGGGGCGGTTTTCAGATTGTGTTCTGCAGAGGTGTTTCATAGGTTCCTCAAATGTCATGTGAGAATTTTACTCTAAAAACAGAGTTTGACTCCAATTAGAACTGTTATGGAAGCGGACCTGCACATTCAAACCTGTTCTACGGCACCTTGTAACACTGAGTACAGCCAAGAGGTGCAGCCAGCTTAAGGCGGTTTGTGCAGAGCTCGGACCGAGAGGCCTGGGAGGATCTTGAACTTTAGTACTGAAATGTGTCTTCAGTTAGAAAGACTGAAGCTCTTTACTGGACATCTTTATGTTTTTAAAATTCAGGGCTCTACACACATATAAAACCGTACAAACAAGTACACGCTAAAGCTTTCAGTGATACGAGAATGGATGACATGAAGTATCATGAAAATGTCACAAATGACTGTGTGCTTCCTGCGTGTTGTAATAAGAAGGAATCCAAGCAGTTGTTTGATACTGTCAGTGATGCAAACCAGAATCCCCTTCCCCTCCTCCCCAAATGTCCCCATAACATTGGACAGAAGACCCCCCTGGGCTGAAAGTTCAGCTGTGAGAAATCTGTTAGCAATTCACATCATCTTATTGATATGATCTAGAATTTTCTGAATACCGTGCAACCAAGCCAAACAAAACAAAAATGACAAAGCAGTGCTGGATGTTACAGCTGATACACCGATACAATGATCATCTAGAACTGAGGCCAACAAACTTCTATAAAGGGCCAAATAGTAAATATTTTTGGCTTTGTGGGACAGACAGTCTCTGTCACAACTACTTAACGCTGCCATTAGAGTGGGAACGCAGCCATGGATAATGTTTAAACGAATGGCATGGCGGTATTCCAACAAAATTTCATTTGCAAAAATCCGGCGGCAGTCTGGGGTCAGGCCCACGGGCTGCAGCTTGCCGACCCCTGATCTAGTCCCTGAGCTTTCACTGTTTTTATGCATTGAAGCTGAGTCATTGTTCTGTTAATGGATTTTCATGATAAATAGATGTTAAAATTTTGAACTTAAAAAATAAATGAGTGTTAATAAACTACCGCTTTAACTTGGCATTCCATGCAGGATTTGACTTTTAGAAATGGTTTCTAAAACTATCAAAGTTTCAAAACTACTAGCAGAAGGCTTTGCTGCTGAGAAGATGCTTTCATACCCGTTTTCAAATTAGATTCATCCCCTAGTTACTTATTCAGAAATCACATTTTTTCTGGAGAGAGCCCCAGCCTGGGCCTGTACTAAAGGTGGGGGACTATGACTCCACGCCTCCTGATCCCAGTCCTCAAATGGTGTTAACGAGCCTCCCTGGTCTGGGGGATTCTGCAAGGCCACTGAAGGCTGGCACGTGGCTGGCTCCTACCTGGCACACCTGCCTGCCTGGGCTCGAGCCCTCCACCTCGTGCAGATGCCATGTATTCCAGCCTCCCCGCTGGTGGCTGGGTGAAGCTGTGCCAGCAGTGAGTCCTAAGTGCCTGGACACTCCAGAAGCACTGAGTCAGCACCCCATTAATCACATATGCCTCTATCCCCAGAGGGCGCGTGGGAAGGGGTGGGAACCAGATTTCTCGCTGGAACCAACAGCTTATTTCCCTCTAGGCTAGTCCTACAGATTCTTCCATGTAGCTGGCAGGAGTCACATGGACCAAAAGAGAGTCTGAGAGTGAAGAAGGGAAGAGTAAGTGCCAGGTCTGGGGAGGACCGCCATCTGCCTGCCCCATGACAGTTTCCCCACATCTCTGCTTGTAACCCTCAGAGGCTTCTAGTTCCAGCCTAGTTCAGTTACCTACTCTACACCTAGCTGAATAAATCCAGACCCTGCCCTGAGATAGCTAGTGGAGGAGCCCACAAACAGCTCACTGTGATATGCACAGAAGGAGCTAAATGCTACATTGTGGTATCGTGAGG